TCAGATTTGCAGGACACCCAAAACTCCTCGAGCTTTAGAGGAATCTCCTTAGGCACCTATTTTTCAGTTTCTCGCAAGAGGGCACCTCCAAAGCTGGCGAACTGGTTGGTTTTCTGTCTGCATTGACCTCTCGCGATATGTCAATTCCCTTGTCGGTTGCCATGGCCATCCTTGAGTCACTGGTGTTACTCACCATCCGTTTCCGATGGCCTCTGTTTGGTTCCCCTTGGCCCTTGGTTTCTTTTGGGAGAACCTGGAAGCATCATCCGACAAGGCGCTCCCTGAAAGATCAAGGCCGGCTCATTTTGGGGTTTCATGTTGGGCCCCCACACATCTGCTCGGTCCCCTTTTTTGTCTTCAGCCGTCATCCGGATCTTTCAAATGCACTTTGCATTTCAACAACCTCACCTCTTGTTTATGGCTGCTGTCCTTCTTTTTTGACACTGGACAGTTACACAACTGTTGATCTACCATGTCCTTACAGAACTCCTGGTAACATGCGAGTGTGATGACCCAGCTCCAAATCCCCACATGGCCGTGGGTCAACACCGGTGGTACCATTTTAGGGTAGGTGCACCACCCATTTGAGTCTATTTTAGTAGGGATTGGGATGTTCACTCGGGGTACCGGGTTTTGACCCATACCCACATAGCTACGGTTTTTCATCTTGGGCAACCGAAAAACCGCCCGAAGGCCAGGAGGGTATTCCAGGCGATCGACCAGGATCATTCAGGCTACATTTCTCTGGAAGAGGGCCAAAGGGCGAGTGGTCGTTGCCTCGGTCGTAGTCGTAGTCGGTTGGATCAGCGTAGCATATCTAATTGATTCTAATGGGTCAACGGTTTTCCTCTGGTTTGACTGTTCGCATCTGACACCGCCCCCCAACCCCCCAACTCCCCCATTCGCAACCCCCCCCCAACCCCAGTGAAGGACCCCTGGGCCCCCCAACCCCCACTTAGGGTCCATCTTGTAACCTCCTTCATTTAGGCTTCTGGTTTTTCCGGGTTCTTGGCAGCATTCAAAAAACTCTAGTCTCCATGGCACCCGTACAAACCAACAACCCCCCCTCCCGCCTCCAAACTACAAATCGCCAGCGCAAAGGCGTCCAGGCCGTGGGAATACCTCCAGATCTCCACCGGAGGGTGCGCTATCGCCTGTATCACGCCTTTCCTGAATCACCCCTCACCCTTTTGTAGATGTATGTACATCAATGCATGAATAAATCTGAATATCATATGTATATGTATATATATATATATACACAAATGTATTCAAAGATGCCTAGGGGATGACAAGCTATGAGGTATTTCCCAATCGAACTCACCCAAAATTGAAAAGGGGGGAACCGAGGCTTCTGGAATGTCCTTGGTTCCACCAATTAACACATCCACAGTCCAAAGAAGAACGCACATGCAGCCACCAGGAAACTGCACCAAGACTGCCCCCATCACTTCGCCACTATCAAAGTCATTCAGTCACCCCCCAAGAAGGTAGGAAACAGGAAATCGCCCACCGGTTTCTGACCATTTCACGCGCCAGGAATCGTCCAAAGTGACGAACGCCCTGCGAGTCGGGGTTTCCGAAGCCACCGCCCAGGTGCCCCGGCTGCTTCTGGAGCCCGCCCTGCAGCGCCTAGCCGATCAGTCCCAAGTGATGGCAACCCATCCCAAACAGGCCCTGCGTCTCTTGTGGCCCGAAAACATCCTATCCCACAACAGCCTTGGCTTCAGCCAGCTTGGAATCCATCCATCTTCGGCCAAGACCAACCAAAGAAAATGCAAAATGCAAAAAAAAAAAAAAAAGGCCCCCCCCCCCCCGCAAGACCTGATGAGACACCTCTGGTTGGAGCCCACTTGGAAGCAACACGCCGCCCTTCGGCCCGCCTGCGGCCCCTGGAGGAACCGGAGCCAACTGGCTGGGCCCCAATACCTCGAGCCGAGCAGAGTGTCGAATCAAAGCGGCGAGATCAGCGCGGCCAAAAAAAGGAAACCCCACCAGACATCGCTGAGGCTGTGAATGATACCAAAAAATAAAACAACACCCAAAAGGGGCACCAACCCTTTTTGGTGGTAGTTCTATGTGGAGGTCACAAGGAAAACCAGCCAAGTTTGGGGGTTCCGTGATTTTAAGAGTAACCCTCTCCCCTTTGGAACCGCTCGACGTTCGGGTCCTGGTCTGGGCCATTCTCCTATTACAGGGAACGCGTCCCTGTCAGCTTCCATGGTGTGAATTATGGGAACCTGTTAGTGGGCATCCACCAACCACTTGCGAGGTGATTCCGCATTCTCTTGGCAAACTAATAGAAGCCAAAAACCAGACATGAGGGACGTCCACACAAGGGCCTGCATCGGTGAGCCCGTTTTATCTCCAGGTTCTACCATTCGTTGCGTCACCTATCTTTGGCAAGCTGCTGGGTTCCCACTTCGCTTAAAAAAGGTGGAGTGAAAGCAGATGGCCCTTGAGGAAAATGGGGGACTTGCAGTCGCATCTGCTTTCACCCAACTGTAAAGTCTTTAGCTTCAAGAAGTCAAGATTGGACGATTGGACCCTTCCATGATTCAATACTGAATTCGCCATCTACCCAACTGACCCCAGACTTGTCCTGGGAGATTTGACACAAGGACCCGGGCCGGGCGTCGCCGGTGGGGTTCTCCACCATCCAGGAGCCCTCGCCAGGGTTTGCTAATGCGGGCATGGTGTGTGAAACATATATTTATATATCTATATGTATGTGTGATGTATATGTATACATATGTATGTGCAAATAAATACGTAAAGACAAAAGAGAGAGAGAGAGAGAAAGAAAGAAAGAAAGAAAGAAAGAAAGAAAGAAAGAAAGAAAGACAGAGAGAGAGAGAGAGAGAGAAAGAAAGAAAGAAAGAAAGAAAGAAAGAAAGAAAGAAAGAAAGAAAGAAAGAAAGAAAGAAATAAAGAAAGAAAGAAAGAAAGAAAGAAAGAGAGAGAGCGAGAGAGAGAGAGAGAGACAGAGAGACAGAGAGAGAGAGAGAGATGGAGAGAGAAAGAGAGGGAGAGAGAGAGAGACAGAGAGAGGTTTATGTACAACAATGTATGTTTGCATGTATGTCAATGTTACTGTCGTACATAATGCGATCACCTCTCAACCTGCGCTGTATCTCCAGTTCCGCATGTACTCGCCCTGTGCACTACGCCAGCGCCGTGAAACACAAAAGCGCCTCGCCGACTCCGCTGCTCCAGGTGTGGAAATCCACGGAGGAGCCAAAGTCCAGCAGAGTGAACTCGTGCGAGAAACGGAATCGAAATGGAGCCATCGCTGTCAGTGGGATTGCTTGCAGTAGGACATCCAAACAAAGCCGAAAGTGAATCTGTGAATTTTTAGTGGAGCTAGTGGGGTGTCCATTGACACTGCAGCTTTTTAGTGTCACCGGAACACCTGGCCTCTGGTTGCCAACAGCACTCCACTTGACACGAGACCGACTCCGCCAGTCCCGCCTCGAGCTTGGAAGGGGTCACCAAAGCCTGGCGAGAGTCGGAACATCGCCGGAAAAGTGTGAGCCCCATAGGTGGCCACTTGGAAAAATAGATGGGTTTCCCTGGTAAATGGAATTGAAACCCATCCAAATCAGTGGAACCCATCTATTTCTAACCAAACTAACCGATCCATGGTTCCAACTAACCGATCCATGGTTCCCATGTCCCTGGTAAATGGAAGAAACCCCATCTAAACCAGGAATCGCCCTCTTTTTTTAAAGAGGACACCTATGGTGAGCCATGAGCCGTGACCCTCAGATCAACTTTGCAAGTTCCCCGAAGACCCGCAGAGGGGAACCTGAAATTGCGGCTTCCAAGACCATTTCGTCTGGGGGAATAAGTCTGATTGCATATCCAGTTTGGGAGGTCGTCCCTCTCATGCGAATGTGTGTGTGTGTGTTTTGTGTGTCTGTGTGTCCTTCTTTGAGTTGTGCCCTTTTTGGGAATGTGTTGCAGGAAAATCGCCCAATCTTGAGGGTCCAAGTCCTATTTCTTTTGAGACAAACCCACATGGGAAACGAGGGCAAATTGGACCGATCCCCTGTCCACCGAACCGAACCGAAGACCGAAGCCGTGCCTCGGGGGGATCCAGGCAGCTCACCAGGATGTTCCTGGGATCTAAGATGGTTCCACTGCCAGAGAAAATGGGGGAACATAACTCATATCCGGGTGTGGCTCAAAATGGGGCTCTAAAATCGAACCTGGTAAAACTGAGTCACACCCATATGGCGGCTTTATAGTGGTTGCATATCCCCCTGGGTGGTTTGGGGGGGTAGTGGAAACCATCTTGGGATCGAAGGTTCTCGTTTCCTATGGGTGGCTCGTCTGTCGAGTGGTTGCAATGTTGACCCCGGAATTTTCAACCCCTTTAGCAAGGGGGGTGCGGGCCCGTCCAAAAGTGGTGTCCACTAAACCCAAAAACACCCCGCCTAATCATAGGATGCATTTGTCCGGGGTTCCCCATATTGGTGGGTCACCTAAGCAAGACACACCCTTAAGTGCACCTTTTCACTGGCTTGCTCGTGGCTTCACTTGTGACGCCACAACTCCTTTCCGCGTGTCTTGCCTGAAAAAGGAAAAAACACGCAACCAACATGAAGTTGCAAAATTATGCTTTAAAAAAAGAATATGTATATACATATATATATATATATATAAATACAGCGGACACCCAACAGCATGTTGCAGATCCACCACGGGCAGTCTGCACATGTTTAACACGATTTCACCCCCAAAGTCCGAACTCATCGAACTGGTTAATGGGCCCCAGAGCTCTCAATCTGACTTTGGCAGGTGTTACCTGACATATAGATAGGGCATCCAAAGAAGAAGAAAAGTCTGCTGCCGGTGAAACTCTTTCCTCAATAGAGAGTGTCACATCATACATATCATACCCTTGCTAACCGCTGCCCCTTCAACATCAAAGAAACCTTCCACCATCAATCGTAATTCTTCCGCAGCCAGGACAGTCTATCTTTTCTTTGCGCCAGTCACTCTTCTATGAAGTCAAAGCGCTTCGCCTTGACATCGTAGTCCCCGCCGCAATCGCCGCAGGCAGGGCCTTTGTGAGTGCCGCCCACGCAGCGGGGGCTGAACATCACCGTGACGACGCCGTCCTTGACGCGGACCTCGTAGACCTTCTCGATGAAGAGCTCCGTATAGTTGGCCCCCGCCTTCAAAGTGTCCAGGTCGTCGGACTCGTAGACCTTGAGCCATAGTCCGGTTTTTAGGCCCCAAAATTTGAGCAAGGGGACCTGTTTCCCATGGAAAGATCGAATATGTTTAGTGGTTTTCCAATGGTCTTTTCGTGGTTTTCCAACCAAAGGTCATCCCATGTAACTAAAGGACCGTTTGATCAACCCCCAGACCTCCCAGAAGGCATCGATGGTCGCTTGGAGGTGTGTGGCCACATCGATGTCCAGGGCAGACAGCTGCTCAACCACCTCCGCTTCGATGGACACAGTGATGCTGTCAGGCTGTGAGCCGATTTTGCAACACTTATTCACAGTCACCTCAAGCGCCATTGCGAACAAACGCGGTCTGGCGCAAGCGCAGTTCAAGAAATTGTGTGTGTGTGTGTGGTTGTGTGACCTTTCTCAATGCTCTGAAAGCTTCTGACAACGCAAAATGAGTTGAGAGGGTAAGGAGGGCCTGGAAAGCAGTTTTTTTGACAACCCCCACTCACAACAAATGTGGAGCCCCAGGTGCAAACCACCAGCTTGAAAATGATACGTACAAGCCCCCGTGTCCTGGAAAGCTCACTTCCCAGAGCCGATTTATTTTTTGACTTTTTGCTCTTTCAATCCGAGAGCAGTGACAGGCTACTGATCAAAGAACTCCGCAGACTGCGGGAAAAAAAAAAACATGCAACCTAAACCTGGGGCATCAAAAAGTGTCGAGGCCTTGATAGCTCGCAGTATCGCTTCCAACTTAAGCCCTTCGTGGATCATGTGCCGGAAAGCTGGACTGACCTACCCCTTCCAAGAGGGCGTTTGTTTCAAAAGAGCGTCCAGCAGCAACCACGAGAATCCCAAGACCATAAGCATGGACGCATGGATGCCTGCTCTGATTTGGGCCCAAAGAAAGGTCCGAACTTTTAGTCTGCCACTAAGATGGTCCAACCCCAGAAAGTTTAAAGTCCGAAACGGAACTCAGCAGGTGAGGGTCATTCTCTTCCTTTCTCAGCTTCTTCTCCGCATGGTTTTGCTTGCTCTGGGTCCGGAAAATCCAAGTCTCCGCCATATGCCTGCTATGGGCCCAAAATAAGCCCATCCCAGAAACAGCGCACCTTGAAGGCGCTCTCGGAGAGTACATTCAGGGAGGGAAACACACACAGAACGCATCTGGCTGCAAAAACTCCGTTGCCCCTTCAGAAACCCAGAAATAGAAGGTGATCACATTCTCGCACCTGTACTCAAGAAGGGAACCCAAGATGGGTAAACCAAAAAGTCAAAAGGTCAGCTTTGGGCAAGTGAGAAAAATGGCCGTGTGTTCCAACCTGCTCTCTTTCTCCTGCTGAAACCTAACAGCCGCGCAAAACTTCGCGCTGCTCTCTACAATCGAAAGTTTCAGAACACATGGAATTCCCAGAAAGAAAGCCTCACGTGTTGTTCGCAACCTGACGTGGTGTTCGCTCGCGTGAGGTCCAAAACAGCTTGAGACACATAAACCCAACCCCGCCTAGCATTGACATCCCGGTGCATAGCGATGCCTGGCTGCGCAAGCTGTTGAGACATGAGCAAAAGCTGGGCTTGAGCTCTTGGAGATGCTTTCGGATCCTCCACCTGCAATCCAACGAGGCGCATGGATCTATGATCTATGGCAGTGTTCTCTTGTCGATTCGAAGAAAACGTCCTAAACCAAAGCTCCACGTACCCCGGGACTTGCCTCGAATCAAGCAGTTGCCGCTCCCAAGTTTCAAGCCCATCTGCTTACATTACCCGATGTTCAGGGCTCGAACAACCCAAGGCCGTCGGATCCAACCTAAAACCAACAAGTTCGCATGGTGCGGGTTCCCCTATCAGCCTTTGGACACGTCCTCTGCGAAAACCCTCCCAAGTGGTCGGCTTCTTTTTGGCTGTCCTTCAAACCACCCAAAAAAGAAATCGGGCAATGAAAAAAAATGGATGAGGTAGGGGCCCAACAAGCCCAAGAAGTCGCAGAAAACCTCCAGCCCTCCAGAAAAAAAAGGAGAAGAAAAAAAAGGGGAAAAATAAATTAAGCAAATAAAAATGAGGGAAAAACAAAACAAAACAGTAAAAATAACAGGAAAAAAAGGAAGAGAAAAAACGCCGGCGCTGCGGTTCAGCTTGGCGAAGGTCGGCGAGAGCTGGTGCAGCAACTCCTGGAGGCCAAGCGCTCGGCCCCTTCTCCCCGAGCAGCGGGCCCAAATGGAAAAGGGCGTCCTCTTGAGAACCCGCTTTCCTTTTAGGGGAAATAGATCTGGGCTGTCCGTTTTCCGATCCCCCGCTAAAAATTTGACTTTCAGTTGGTTAAATGGAAATCCCCACTAAACACTAAAAGGCTAAAAAAAGCTAAGGGGATGGCTGTGAACCACCAAGAGATGACCCTGGTAGATGATGAAACCACCAGATAAACCAGGAATCGCCATCGATTTTTCGACCAAAACAACCAAAAACGACACCTATGCGCTTTCAACCAATCTAAGAACGAGTACCCTGAAAACACAAGCACCCAATTGAAAATCCACTGAGGCTGTAGGCGAATGTACAGCTCCTGCGCTTCACATGGAGTGAAAGGAAGCAAACAACATGCCCAACCCCCAATCGTTGATGGTTTTTGAATGAATGAACCTGCCACACATTGCTCAAAAGAAAAAGATACAAACACAAACTACAAGTACTTTGATCGGATGGTGTTCCACTAATTAAAAAAGAAAAGAATAATGAGAAAACCGGCCTCACAAGTATTTCAAATTTGATGGAAAGGAAACACACCGCCCAGTTCCGCGGAGTCTTACTTAAGGAACCTCAATGCAATCTGACTAGCTTGGGATCCAAGTGATTGAAAGGACGTGCCGAGTGATCCAGATTGGCATGATCTCAATCACGACTCACTTGTGGCAACCTGCACGCGAGCACAAAGCGCTGCTTGCCTGCTTAACTGCACAGCCAAACAAATAGAATTGGATGAGCGTAAAGAGAAACAAATGCACAAGGGCATCTCAAAGGAAGTTCCTACTTTCAAACCAAACCAAGATACCTTCCACTCCGGCCAGCCAAAAGCACGCACCCATCCACCCAACGACTGAATCATCTGTCCCGGGCAGCTCCGGCGGCGCTCAAGAAGGAAGAGCAGTACCTCCGCAAAGTGCACGTGAGACATGGATCTTGTTTTCTACCCAGATCCCAAGCCAGGCATCCGCGATTTGTACCAGAACTCCGACACTTGCAATCAGTAGAAATCTCCTAGCAAACGACCTGCGTACATGATGCTAAGCTTGTTTTGCCCTCACCTCGCCATAGAATAGAGTGACCATACGATGGTTGCGAAAACCGCTTCACACCGCAAGCAACTGGCGGCCCGCGCCCCATGGCAGCCAGCTCGGCCGACATCTCGCGCTCCTAAGAGAGCGGGCAAGCGACGAAGGCGCGATGCCGGGGGCGAAATGTCCAGCTTCAAAAACGAATTGGCTGTGGCTCAAAAACATGTACCAAAATGGCACCTTGGTAAATGGAACCAAGACTAAAACCTGCGTAATTCACAGCCAAATGTCCAAAGCACATTGGAACAGTCGAACGTGCTAGGTTGGTCGCTTGGGTTTGTGCTCGGCGGCTTTGCTCTGAGCAAACGATTGATTTTCTAAAGCTTGCAGGGACAAAGAAGCATCCCTGTAATTTAGTATGGCCTGTAGCTGGTTTACATGCAATATGACAGTAGGATATCACAAACCTCGAGGGTTTGGCGCCTGAAGCGAATGCCTGGACTGATTCGGTGAAATTATGGGCAAGTTTTGTGCGATCACGTCCTCACATAAATAACGTCACGTCATAAAATTTAGTCGGCCGTCATTCATGGACGCCGTCAGTCATCATTGGTCGTCGTCATAGGGCCTAATCATTCATGACTGCCTTCATAGCCGTCGTCGAAGACGTCATGATTTGACGACTTCAAGTCATGAATGCATGACGAGACGCCATTAAGTGCCGTCATGATTTCGGGCCGTCATTGAGTACGGAGTGAATGATGAAGGAAGTCAACTAACGAATGACGTCAAATCATGCAAGTAAATGACGACGTCATTTGACGACGACAATGTCATTATGAATGAGTGAACTCATTATTGATGACGACTGACGCCAAGTCACTAAAGACATACTGGAATGGAATGACTGATTTATTGAGGACTTATTGAAGTCAAGTTAAGAATGAATGAATATGGACCTCCTTGGTTTGCAACCTCGCCCATGAAGGTCCCGGAAGTGGACGGCCGACCTTCTCCAGAGGACCACAGTCTTCGCAGATTGTGTCAGCTTCCAGTGTCGGAAGGAAGGTAGTTTCAGAAGGACCAAGACGGCCAGAACGGAAGTCTGGGTGACTCTTTTATGCAAGCGGACAGGACAAAGCGACGGACAGCATGTGGTTGCCTTTACGCGCGTGCGCATAAAAATTTGGAAGCTCTAATTCCAAATGGCAGTGGCATGATGTCGGTGCACATTTTGCAAAGAACCAGGCATGCAACTGACTTTCACACCTGCACAATCTCCAAACCTTTGCAACTCCAATTCCCTCTGGGAATCTCTTTTGGGAGGGAATAACGGAAGCCCAGAATGAAGCCTCTGCCATATTGGGACTTGCCCCCGCAAACAAAAGAGAGACCGCCCGAGCCCGGCCCGTTTGCCCAAAAATACGAGCCTCCCGAACAAACGTCCCCTCCCCCCCCCCCACACAAAAATACATGAATATTATTGTTGTTATATTTAAAAAAAAAAAAAAAAAAAAAAAAAAAAACAAATGTGGTTTAACACAAAAGACGCAACTGAAGACACAACTCCCCACGCGCCCGTTGATTGTTTCTCGGTCTCCGCGTTCTCACGCGGACCGTCCTGCAAGAAGTCGATGACCGCACGACCCTGGCGCCGCAGCATCGCAACCTCAGAGTCGGAGTTGGTTTATGGTTGTATCAAAAGGTGGCCCGCAAAATTGACTGAGTGGTCTGCTTTTAGCCCAAAAAGAAGACCCAACCAGGGTGGCCTTAAAACAAATCAGACCTCACCCATGTAGTATTTAAAAAAAGGAAGCGGGAAACTGTAGATCATCTGACCAGTTGAAGGGTGAAGGAAGCCTACCATTCAGAAGGGCTGGCGAGTTCGACGTTCGAGACACCATCTTATTCGGTGCGTCCTAAACGTCAGACTCCTAAACCTGGACACCATGATTCTTGTCAAAGTCACTCCCGACTGCCAGGGAAACACCTCCCAGTAAAAGAAGAAGAAACCAGACCCGAGAAAAGGGATGCGAATGGAGTCTCAAAACCAGCTACTTCATCTTTTGAAGTTCAGTCTCCGACTCCTTTGCACCACTTCTTGGAAGTCTAGGTCCTCCAGTGGAGAGGTTAGAATAAGGGTATCCTCTTTTCTGTTGTCTATTTTAGAAACGGTAAAAGTTGGCACCTAGCTCGGGGACCTAGAAGTCGCACTTCAAGTGCTAAAAATCAGATTCGGATCACCCGTTTGTCTCACTGGTGATATGGCCATGGCTCAACATCCAAATCGTACCCCCAGTGAACATCAACCAATCCACACTAAAAGAGACTACCCAAAATGGAGCATGACCAAATTGCTTCAGAATGGTAGTCAACCCAAATCCATTCCTGGAAGCACTCTTTTTTAGTCCCACCATAGACCATCCCAATAGACTACCCATTGGTTTTGACACCCACCGCCCCTCTTGGAGCATCCGCTGCCTACGGCCTGCGGCCACCGGCAGCCAGCGCCTGTCTGGGCCTCCCCGACCCGCAAGACGTAGGCGCCCGGCTCCGCCGGGGAGAGGTCCCAGAACCTGAGAAAAAGCGAGGCGCGCGCGGAGGTCTCAAGCAGGCGACGCCAGAGGCGACGGAAGGCATCGCCAAGCCAGGTCAAGCCCCCGGTTATCCCCCGGTGAACATCCGATTCAATCCAACCGCTAGAATAGGTTCTGAAATGGGCGGTGGATTCACCTACCCCGAAATGGTACCATTGGTTGTGACTCACACCCACCTGATTGCTTGAACTGGACTTCGTTGCAAGGGCTCTTTTCATTTCCAAACCTAGTTACCCGTTTCGCTCCCAGGGCGCCCAATATGCCAAAGCCAATTTTGCTTTGCTTCACCAACCCAACTTGAGGAGTCCTTAGTTGGGTAACAAAAGGATGGGTCCCAACTTAGCTGGGCTCCGAATTCGGATACCACATTGTCCTTTGGCGCTCGCGCGATCGGAACCCCAATCACCTTACAATGGTCCTCTTCCACTCGAGCAAAATGGAGAAAACACAGCCGGAAGCAAGGTGGGGAAAAAGGTACTGTCAACTTCCCCCGAAAGAAATGGGCGTGTCTCTGAAACGGAGATCCCACAGAATGGATGGTGTTCTGTTGATGTTCCGTTAAACCAAGCCAAAACAAAACAAAACCACTGTGATGGTGTAACATACAAAAATTGGGAGCCTGGAGCGCATTCGCCAAAGCTCAGACGCCATCAACCCCGCGTTGTGTGTTGACCTGATTGCTTCAAACTGGGGTTGCCTCTGGCCGTTTGGATGGCAGCAAACACAGACGCTTGACATGGAGTGCCTCGTTTTGACGGCTTCAGACCCAAGCAACCGAAAGCATCAGGAAACACTTTGGAGACATCCCAAAATCTCTCTACACCTACCGTGGGTGAACGAAATCGTGCAAGAGTTGGGAGGCTTATCCTCAACGCGGACCTTGTGGCAGCCGAGCAGACAACCACCCATCATCAAAAGCTGGTGTTAAAAAATGGTATACCCAAAACCATGTATACAGAATGAAAGGGCGTGGGTCAAAATCCAAATCGTACCCCCAGTGAACATCCCAATCCCCACTAGAATAGGTTCAAAAATGGGTGGTGAATTCACCTACCAACCAAAATGGGATCCCAAAACGGTTTTCACAACCACCGCCATGTATGGCAAGGGGCTGGTCCCCTTCGCTTCACCCCGAATCGGCTTTTGATCCAGTCGCTCAGCATCGTTTCGTTGGAAGTTTTTGGGGACCCTGCTGATGCTGCAGCAGCTTCGGCACGCGAAGCTCGCCTGGGGGGAGCTCTTTTTGGTCAACCCCGGATGAACCGACGGGTGTTCCCCCCCCCAAAAAAAAAAACAGCTATTTACATATACATATGTATATATATACATATCAGGGGATGTTCCCCCAAAGAAAAAAAGAAAGGTTCCTAAGAAAGCAGAACACCCCTGTCAATCAAGCAGTGTTTATTCATGCGGGGGCCACATTTCATGGGCCACGGACAAAGTTGCAAAGCTGAGTACGCTGGCTGGTTGCTGAAACAATCCTTGCACCCTTCGAGAAGTCCACAAGGTTTTGCCAGATGGGTGTGTCTAGAAGTTCAAGAGCTGGGGCAAACCGCAGATTTTGGTTTTTGTTTCCATTTGCCCTAGCATTGTGGGATCCGAGCAATGAAGGCAAACACCGTCGCTTAAGTCTGCAAGTCGTGATTCAAAAAACCCAAGCCCTGGAGTTTTTTAAATGTGCCCCTTTGGTGTATGTCGACCACATACACCAAATGGGTGTGGTTCCTTTTGTTGCGGTACCCCTTATTTGGTGGTGTTTAAAGGGAAACCAAAAGGCACCACCTTGTTCTTTTGGGGGGTACCTCCAAACAGACACACCCAAAAAAAAGAAGTTGAGCAGAAGAAAGGCTGGCTGTCTTGATTAAGTACTATTCAGGGACATGGAATCACAGGGTAGAATATATGGGTGTGTCTTTCGAGGGGAACCCCGAGATGGTGGTTGTTCTTTTTGCTTTCCCTGAAAACAAACACAAAAGAGGGAGTACCAAGTCAACAAAAACGACGAGCCACCCAAATGAACAGAACCACTTGTCCACCTTTAGGGCCGTCTGTCTGATCCTCACTTGAGTGTGTCCAAGAAATGATCGGACTGGGCGGCAAATGGCTGGCTCACCTGGTTTCTCTGCGACAGCTAGGGGATTCTTATGTTGAAAAATACCCAAGCATGTTTCCAGGAAGAGACAGAAACAATAGCATCCCTGCTCGGAACACATGATCCCCACATCCAACACAAAGCAGTAATGTTGACCCCATATTAGTCAACCCCTGTCTATCAATATGGGGGTGTCCGTGGAGATTCATCACTTTTGGAGGGGAACACCGAGGGCGTCAGCATTAGCCAAACACGGCCCCCCTCTCCCCTCAGGAGCGAGCACTCTACCCTCCCATCACGAGGCTGAGACCCACACCTTCGCAGGCCTCAGTCAGGAGGCGCATGACCTCGCGCGAAGTGGCACGGAGAAACTGCCCCTCCAAGTGTCTCTGCCTTTCAATCGCAAAGGTCGGAAATCCTAGGGTTGAAGTTATCTTCCCACAAAGGGGGTGGGGGTGCAACCAATAATCCGACGGCGACTTTACCCTGGCTCCATTAGTCAACCACTGTAAAAGAACATAGGGGGTGTCACTTGGGCTTTGTGGGGAATCATCACTTTCGACGAAGACACCCCCCATTATTAAACTGGGGTTGATGTTAATATGGGGTCTTACACATCATCCAATTTGAATACAGAACCAATGCATGTCGGTTCCTCAGGTTTTGTATGCATGATTGTACCACGGAGGACGAGCATTCCTGAATGCGACCAAAACCAGCCTGTTTTGGTGGGAAGCTGTTTTCTCGGTTGCTTTCTGCTCCCCTGCTAAAAGTGAATAACTTTCAGTGGGTTTAATGGGGAAAACATCCATTAGTCGGCAAAGACTTCTCAAGTCCTAACATCCATTGGCAAAATACGCCAAAGTTTTGACCGCCCACACGGCCACCCGCGAAAAAAGAAGAAGAAGAAGAAGAAGAGAAAAGAAAGAATAAGAAACAAAACAAAACAAAAAAAGGGGCGTCGCCCCACGGCGCTTTCGGCGCTCTCTCTCCCGCCTTGACCTCGTGCACGGCCCGCTGCACCGAGGCATCTGGCAAGATGCCGGCGCCCACGCCGCAGCGCATCTCCTTGACGGCCACCTCATCCAAGGCTGCGGGAAGGACGGGTCCTGTGTTCGGGGAAAACCAGAAGAACAAGCATGTTGGGAGTCCCCGAAAAAGAAAAAAAGCCACACTCAGATAGAAATTTTATTAGGTGGTTTTATTTCCAGGAAGAGTGGATTAGCAAGCCTTTAAAGTCTAACAGAAGAATGGGAGCCACGATTGGTTCTGATTTGGGAGTGTCGTATTTGGGACTCCCAACATGGTGGTTGATGGTTCCCTTTTACCAGAAAGGTGTAACCTCAAAAAAGAAAACATACATCACCCCCACAGGTGCTATGTTGGTGAGAGGGAAGGGTATCACTGCCGTTCGACCAACAATCCATTCGAAAGGGAATCCACAAGTAGCCCATAATCCAATCGAAAGTGTAGCCCCACATGGCTCAGGCTCAGGTAAATGGGAGCTTCCAGGAATGGGGGGCTGGAAGAACGTGGAAGAAAACCAGTTGCGCGTGAAGCCTGAACAACACAGGTCCGACGCCGATTCGATGGCATGGACCATGGGATATAGCCCTGACATAGCTCTTTCCTTGCATAGAGGATGGACCAATTCCTGGACCAGTTGGTAGTTGCTGAATCCCAGCACTCATAGATTTTTATCCATCCCAACTGGTGCAGGATTTTGTCCATCCACAGCGCTAGGATCGCCCCCAAATGGAGAACGTGGAACTTCGCCAAAGAAGCGGTTTCAAGTCCCTTCCCTACATCGTCCCCCAACCCCCCAACCCCCCAACCCCCCAACCCCCAACCCCACAACCCCCACAACCCCTGTCCCCAAAAGAACCGTGCATCTTCTTGGTTTCCACAAGTTGTTCACGCGCCTCACCGCGCGAACACGCCCTTCCGCACAGCACCCTTCCGTCCCGCCTCGCGGCCATCCTCCGTGGTCGCGGCCCAGACCTGTCCCCGAGTTGGCTCACTGTTGGAACTCTGAACGACTCCCTAAAGGCCCTAACTTCCTGGTTAAGGGGGCTGATCAATCTTCCTGGCCCCTGAAGGCTTTAAGGGGGCTGATCAATCTTCCTGGCCCCTGAAGGCCCTAAGGGGGCTGATCAATCTTCCTGGCCCCTAAAGCCCCGAAGGGGGCTGATCAATCTTCCTGGCCCCTGAAGGCCCTGAGGGGGCTGATCAATCTTCCTGGCCCCTGAAGGCCCTGAGGGGGCTGATCAATCTTCCTGGCCCCTGAAGGCTTTAAGGGGCTTGATCAATCTTCCTGGCCCCTAAAGCTCTGAAGGGGGCTGATCAATCTTCCTGGCCCCTGAAGGCCCTAAGGGGGCTGATCAATCTTCCTGGCCCCTGAAGGCCCTAAGCTCTGAAGGGGGCTGATCAATCTTCCTGGCCCCTGAAGGCCCTAAGGGGGCTGATCAATCTTCCTGGCCCCTGAAGGCCCTAAGGGGGCTGATCAATCTTCCTGGCCCCTAAAGCTCTGAAGGGGGCTGATCAATCTTCCTGGCCCCTGAAGGCCCTAAGCTCTGAAGGGGGCTGATCAATCTTCCTGGCCCCTGAAGGCCCTAAGGGGGCTGATCAATCTTCCTGGCCCCTGAAGGCCCTAAGGGGGCTGATCAATCTTCCTGGCCCCTAAAGCTCTGAAGGGGGATCAATGGCCCCTGAAGGCTTTGAGGGGCTTGATCATCTTCCTAAAGCTCTGAAGGGGGCTGATCAATCTTCCTGGCCCCTGAAGGCCCTAAGGGGGCTGATTTCCTGGCCCCTAAAGCTCTGAAGGGGGCTGATCAATCTTTTTTTTTGAAGGGGGCTGATCAATCTTCCTGGCCCCTGAAGGCCCTAAGGGGGCTGATCAATCTTCCTGGCCCCTAAAGCTCTGAAGGGGGCTGATCAATCTTCCTGGCCCCTGAAGGCCCTAAGGGGGCTGATCAATCTTCCTGGCCCCTAAAGCTTTGAAGGGGGCTGATCAATCTTCCTGGCCCCTGAAGGCCCTAAGGGGGCTGATCAATCTTCCTGGCCCCTAAAGCTCTGAAGGGGGCTGATCAATCTTCCTGGCCCCTGAAGGCCCTAAGGGGGCTGATAAGGGGGCTGATCAATCTTCCCTCCTAAGGGGGCTGATCAATCTTCCTGGCCCCTAAAGGCCAATATTCCCTGGGTTATCATCTTTCCAAAAGCACACACTCATTTGGAAGTATATGGCTCAACCCCAAATCGGAGAAGAAAAAAAAGAAGAAAAAAAACGGTAGATTGCACATCGAATCGGGATATCGTCTTTAATCAGTACGGGGGCTGATCAATACGGTGATCATCTTTCACTTGCTTCGCAAAGACAGAAATGCTACATGTGGGGGCTGATCAAGACTCCCTTCGGCCCCCAGTTTCGAGCATGGCCAACTTCTCCAATGTTGGTGACATATCACTTTTTTGTGGTTTCCCTGCTGGTCACCCCACGTATATCGGACTTTTTTTGATCAACCCCCCTGCGCCCTCGATCGGACGGTTGCCCGCATCTCAAGGGTCTGTCGCCGGTGACCCAAACCCTCCCCTGAGCGCACCTGTGCATAAGCACCCGATCCAATGGCCTTGGCAAGAAGCTGGAAGCCTGCGTTTATTCAGCAGTTTAGTCCATGCGCCCATTTACCAGGGTTCCATTTTGGGTATGGTCTCTCTCATCCATCTAGTCCCTTCCCGCTTTTTTGAATCGGACCCAGTTAATACATACTATGTTTTCCAGACTGGCTGAAAAAGCCGTGTCCCCAATACTACTTTTAGATTAGCCCAATTCAAAGCCGATAAACTGTCCGTCGTCTCCACCCAGACCAGACCCAGTCTTATTAGGGGGGCCTGCCTCCCTCAACGCAAATTTATACACGGGTGTGGGTCAAAATTCAACCACCAGGAGACCGCAGGTTTTCGTCCTTCTTTCTATTTACCAGAGGTCCATTTGGGGTACCTATTTTTGACCCAGAGCCACATTGGATGGTGGTTCAACCAAAAGGTACACTGCCTACCTTGCCCACGCAATTCCCTGCCTTTTCTGACTGTCGGTCTTTCTTGCCCTGCACCCCTGCACCCTGCACTAAGCTGTGCTAACCGAAAACAATCAAATGCGAAACGTCTTTCCCGGGATGAGTATCTTTGTCTCCAAGAAAGCCCATCTGACCCCAAGAGACCCCATCGATAAATATGCTTTCCAGGGAGTATATATTGATAGGGGGTCCGCATTTATTGTCAGGGGGAATAGATTTCTAGGGCGTTCTTCACCTTCAAACAAGGCGGCCCTTTAGGGTGTGTGTGTGTGTGTGTCCTCTTTTGAGCCGATCGCCTGAAATGGCGGTGCTTGGTCTGTTTCTGCCAGTTTCGGTGCTTGAGTCTTACCTGCAGCCCCTTGAAGCCACTTGAAAGAACTTTGCTCCTTACAACAAAAAAAAGTCTTCCAGCATCCCTTAGGTTCCATGTTCGTGGATAGGAGGGGTTTGTTGCCCTGTTCCAGTAAGGTGCCGCTGGACATAACTCGGTGCTTTCTGCTCCCCTGCTAAAAGTTTAACTTTTAGTGGTTTAATGGAAAACCCATCAGTTGGCAAAAAGTTAAAGTCCTGACATCCAAGCAAAATGCACCAAAGATAAGCAGTGGCTGGACGTCTGAATCACTGAGGCTGTGTCTTCGCGCACCTGCAGCTGCATCTTGCCAACGGTCACCGACTGGCAAGGGCTGCGGAATGCAAGAGAGACAACTGCGGCAACCAGGGTCCCATTCTCACCCAAAAGGAAACTCACTCACTTTGACTTGGCCCAAAAGGGATGCTTACAAGGTTCCCTGATTCTCCTGTTAACATCACCCCCGCCAAAAGGAAACTCACTTTAACATGGCCCAATAGGGATGCTTGCAACCACCAAAAGGGAGGACATTTCGGGACACTGGCAGCGCTGTTTTTGCCCCTTTGCGTCGTGAAGGGAACATGGAAAAGAACCCCACCACGTGGAACCCACGCTTGTGTGCCTTCTTTGTTGGGCACAAAAAACAAGAAGAGGAGTGTTACATGAACCCTACAAACAAGGCCCTTGGTGGGGATGTGTCTTTTGGTAGAACATGGTCAACACACAATATTGTGGCTGTGTTGGTGGAAACGTTGGAGCCGGTGAGCGGCCCTGAAAAAAAAGGAGGGGCCACACCGCGCCTGTCCCTCCTTCAAAGGCAGAGGCTCGCTTGGGGCAGGCAGCTGGGGAGGCTGCCATCTGAGCTCCTGAAAAAAAATGACGACCCTGACGCCCTCTTCCATTTGCATAAAAGCACTCGAAAAAGAAAAAATATGTCCAGCGACAGTTTTTTTTTTGGGGGGGATAGCCTCATGGCCTCAGGGCTGCAGAGCTAGTATGGTTGTCAGAAATGACAAGACCCCAACATGGAACCGCCCGATCGGTAAATGGAAGCAAGGACTGCCTGCGGTCCAATTCCTGGTGGGTTCAGATCGGCCCTACCTGAACCGAATGAATCAAATGAATCAAGAATAAAGCCTTGAGCCGGCGTGTTTCACGTAGTGAAGTTTGTCTCTGACAAAGTTACACAGGTGTCTTTGACAGCTGCGTTCGACAGGTGGAAGAGTAATGCCCTTCACACGCTTCCGGAAAAGAAATCTGCCCAGCGCTTCCCACCCACAAGAAAAGCCCTGGGCCGCACGGGCCGCTTTTTTTTCTTTCTTCGCTTTACTTCGTTCTTACCGCGAAGTGCAAGGCCGCCGTCGCCAGCACCGCCAGGCCCAGAACCGCCCAGGCACTCTCCTCTTGGAGCTCATTCTGGTCGGCCTTGGCCCCCTGGCAGATCCACTCTTGCCTCTGTTGGGCTGTTGGGTTGTTGGGCTGTTGGGCTGGCGGGCCTGTCACGGTTGTTTGACTGTTGGGCTCTGCTTGTGCTGCTGGGCTTAGGGTTTATGGTTTAGGTCGTTTGGCGCTGGCCATTTTGGCTGTGGTTGAGCGTCAAGAACACTGGAAGCCATGTGGGCGGACAAAACATCTTTCCTCAACAGGACATGGCTGTGGGTCCAAAATAGGTACCCGAAATGGGTTGTGCTGGTTCATGGGAACCAAGGACGAAGACCCGCGGTGGAAACTCCTGGTTTAACCCATACCCCGTTTTTGGTTCGCAACACGTCCCAGCCGTCACAACGCTTCGCATTGACCGGGCGGTTCCCTTTGTGACCCATTTCGGGAAAAGAAACTGCCCAGAAAACCTCGGGCCTTCTCCTGACCTCCCCCGCCGACGAACTTCTGGGTTCGATATGAAGGAACCCAAAAGGCCACGTTCGGGCTGAAACGTCGTATCCTGGACCTCAAGGAGAATTAGACCTTCCTCAACCTTCTCTGTGGGCCTGCATGGGACAATCAATCTCAACTTCTCTTTCTCCAACCCCTTGGAGCGGATTCGACCTGTTTTTTCGGGGTGGGGGGGGCAATCAATCTTGCACTCCCCTTCTCTCCCCCATGAAACATCCCCAAGTCAACGTGGTGGGCCAATCAATCTTTCACGCGATGTTTCTCCCCGACTCCCCGGCTCCCTGACTCCCCGACTCCCCGACTCCCGGCCTCCCGACCTCCCAGGCGGGTCTTTTTGCCACCGTTCGTGGAAAATTGTTCGACCCCCTCGTACTGAAGGATTCCTTTCTCACAAAAGGTGGCAAAAAGACCCCCCTCCCCCAGACCTCCGCGCCTGAAACATCGAGTGCCGCAGCTTGTCCTCGGCATCGGGCAGACGCGAAGTCGCCATCGCCGCCAGCAGCGCCTCGCCGTCCTCCGCCACGCAGAGCATCGCAGCGGAGGTCTCCGACATGAAGCCTACCGGGCCCCGTGCCCCTGGGACCCCTGCACCTTGCAACCCCTGGTTGATGAACAAATACATATTTAATGTATAGATATATACATATATGCATATATGCATATTTACATATAACACACATACATATGTGTATATATATATATATGATATGATATTCTGATGTAAAAAAATAAACTTGGACTAATATACCCCTGTTTAACTGGTAGGAGGGTGTCCTCCTGCATCAGCGAGTCATCACTTTTGGGGAATCACCGAAGCTCGACAAGTTTGTAAAACCGAGCGAAACAATCATTCTTAGGAGTTCCTGGGGTTTAGGGTTTTGGGGTTCAGACGTCTTTATTATGTGGTGTAAAATTGGGTTTGAGGTTTAAGTGATTTAGGCAAAAAAACCCTCCTTTGGGAAGCAGGTTTAAACAGGCTCTGCCACAAATGGTGACCGTCCTTCTGGGCAGCTCTGGCGCTTAGGGTTTGGTTTGGGGGGAAAAAAGTGACCGTCTCGTTGGGATCCTAGAATGGGTTGCTCAGAAACGAGCACGTCTTCTGGGAGCCTCCAAAATGTGTGTGTGTGTGTGTTTGTCCTGTCAAGAAGAAAGACCCATATGGGGAACCTGGGCCTGGGCTGTTCAAAGATTGGGGGGATCCCCAATGCTCATCCGTGGGAGACTGCTGCAGCGGAAACCACAGCCACGGCCATCCGATTTTGAACAAGCCGGATCAAAGGCACAGCACCCTGCCAAGCGCAATGTCCGAAAGGGCGGTCTGCGTGAGGCCCAACATATGGGTGTCTTTTTTAGGGCGCCAGTGTTTTTTGGCGATATTAAAGGGAAACCAAGTTGGGCAAGCCCAGGTGCATTCAAGCTTGGAAGGTTGATACGAAGGAAGCATTCAAGGAACCAGCAGCTGAAACAATCAGCCATGCAGTATGATTGTATGCAAGGGCCATGACGCGCAGGTGATCAGGATGCTTGGCTGTGGTTTGTTTATTTGTGAGATGCAAGATTTGAGGAATCAACCCGCTTACAAGTTTTCCCGCTGAATCTACTTGCAACAATACTGTGGATGGCTGCGAAATGAATCTCGCACCGTTCAGAAACCCTTGGCTTACCATTTGATTCCCCAACGCAAATACCAACAAACAATGCTTTTGGTTTCAAATTGGTGCAAAGGGATTTCATCCACATGGGTGCTTCTCGAACTACGGGTGGTTCGATCCACAACTTGAAGCGGAGCCGAGTCCAGGCCGCTAGCTTCCGTCAGCTTTCGCCCCAAAGGATTCACACCAACTCCCACGTCCGTAGCTTAGAACGTCTCGGCCATGCGATCCCCAGAGACCGAACCTGAGACGTGCTTCAGAAACATGATTCATCCCTTCCTAATCATACAGGTCACCAATCATAAAAGATAGTTTTCCCAAACTCCCAAAACAAATCAGGGTCCGCGAAGACTAAATTTAAGATTGCCAAACTAACACTAAAACGGTGAGATTGCCTTCTGTTCTCAACTCCAGTTGCATTAGGGGGCCTTTCAGAACCAACGCAAAACCATTGTTAAACCAATACAACATCCAAAACATGCCGCTGATTTGTGTTGTTCCTCGAAAAATTGCCGCTTTGAACGTTTCGGGCAAAAAAGACAAATGTGATCTTTCTGGGACAACATAGTTCTTTGTTGGGGCGGGGGAGCCTTGCATTCTTATGAGGAAGGGATTACAACTCTCTTACCCTTCCATTGCTCCTCAAACAAGGAAAAGAATTCGCTCTCCTCTTTGCCGCCTGCTCAAGAGTCCCTCTTCCCAGTCGCCCCTCAACCCCTCAACCCCTCGACCCCTCCCCCCGCCCGTCACCTGCTTTGCAGGAGTTCTGCGTCCACTTCATCAAATCGTCCCAGTAGCCCATGCTGTTCAGCAGACCCACAGGCTTCAAGTGGATGTTCAGCCTGGCAAAAGAATCCCAGGAAAACCACACCTCGCCTTCATGACGCTGACCACCGGGCGACATCGAGAAGCTTCCAAATGAAAGAAAAAGCTGCCCCTTCTTTAATCCCCTTTGCCCTGAAACCATGTCCCAAGATGTGTGGAAAGCTACACTAGCTGCTACACATATCCTCACATTGAGGCGGCCGTGCGCCCCATCATTGCAGCCTCTGGATCTCTTTGGAAATCAGCTCCCCCAACACAACAAATGTGCGAAATGATTTGTTCCATCTTTTCGTACACCCTTCAATTTTGGTGGGTTTTAAAGGAAAACCAACACAAAAAAAAATGCCACTATCTATTTCTTGGAAAGTCCCCCACTCAAACACCGACCGCCGCGTGGGGAAATCGTTCGTTTCGTTTTGGGGCCGCTTGTCGTTTCGACGCTTCAAGATGACTTCGCTTCGACGCCGCTTCGCTTCGCTTCGCTTGGCTGTGCTAGGCGTGGGGCTGGGTCCAGGTGGTCACCTCCGCGATCTCCTCCAAGGTGCCCCAGCCCCCGGGCATCGCCACGAAGGCGTCCGCCAGCTGAGCCATCGCCGCCTTCCTCACGGCCGGAGCCGCTTCGGGGAGCTTCGAGGGGAGCTGAAGGTGAGTCTCCAAAATGGGTGGAAAAAAGGCGAGACAAAGCCTTTGAGCGGCCTTTTGGCGCCCAAAAAACGGGGGAAAAAAAGCGCGCCGTATGGTTGAGATAAGGGGGGGTGAGTGAAAAACAGGGGGGGAGGAGTTTTGTAGGGGTAAACGTGGAAGGCGGTCAAATTCAAATAGAACGCAAGTTGGGCAGGGTGTCCAATTAGTGGGAGATTTGGACAACCCAAAATGGGTGATAGCAAGGGCCACGTGGAAGGTGGCCCTTAATAGTCCTTGACCCCAATAGCCGACATGGGTTTCTCTTGAAATTTCCCGAGTCCATTCCAAATTTGAGAAACCACCCAATAAATGGTGGGCCTTCTTTTGTGGAGAAGCCGCAAATGCGCTCGTCTCATGTACAATGCAATTTGCGGAAACTTATAGAATCTCAACACACCAAACTTATTCCCGCTTGAAACCGCCCAAAAAAAATGTATCTCTTGTTTGGGCCTATTTTAGTGGTTGATTGAAAGAGAGTTCACAGGGAAACCGCCCATGTTCGAGGTTGACCAAATTCTGGCGCCCACTGGTGCTAGAAGGATGAAATGAGTGGCAGTTCTGGCGAGCCGATCTGCTTTTCAAGTCGCACACCGCGCAATGGTTACATGTCGCAAGCCGGAAATATGACTTGGATCACCAAGCAATGGACCTCCTTCGTCTTTACACCCAGCTCACCAAACAAAATTTGGCAGATACCATGGATTTCTCGCAGGACTTAAGTCTGCACTCGGCTTTCCCAGTAAATGGCTCGACTCTCAGCCGGTCCTCTCATGCATGGACTCGACGATGTGCAGGGACGTGCAGCCGGTGTGTGCCAGCTCTTTGTCAACAAGGCTCCTTCGAGAAGTGATAAAAGCGGCGGTCATTTGGCTGTGGGTCAAAACCCATGGTACCATTTTGGGGTAGGTGAATTCACCACCCATTTTAGAACCTATTCCAGCCTCTCGAACACGGCCCGAGTCGTGTGCGCCCCTTTTGGAAGGATGGAAGGGCGCGGGTGGCGCGGCAGGGCTCCAAATCCACATCCAAACCACTGAGCTCCACCAATTGAGGGAGACCTGATCAACCAAAACCCAAGGAAGGCCATCTCTCAGACGGCCGCTTCCCTCAAAACGCGCCTTTTGCGTTGGTTTTCTTTTCCATGGTCGATCGTTGCGGTTTCGGCCTGGCTGTGGTTGTCAACAATAGGGTAACCCCAAAATGGGTTGCCCCGTGGGAAATGGAACCAAGGACTAAGACCTGCGGTCCAATTCCTGGTTGAGTTTTGACGTTGTCTTTGTTTTCACACGCTCAAAGATGCTCTGTTGTAGCCTGCAGCCTGCACCCTACCTCTTGGGTGGCAAGTCTTTTTTGGCTTGCTTTCAAGGGAGATAGAGATTCCGACTTTCTCTGGTGCCTTACCAAGCCCCGTCTCCCCCCGCAAGGGCCCGTCGCTCCTGGGCATCACGCCGATGACCTCCCCTCCCTCCGCCAACGCCGCATCCGCCACAGCGCCCATGAGGCCGACCTGCAACCCGTGAGAGCCGTGAGCCGGGAGGCAAATTGGGCGTCGACTAAGGTTAGTAAGGGCCAATCCCAGCCATAAATAGCTGCGCATATCCGCCTTCTTGATTCTTGAAGCATGGTTCTGGGTTCACCATTTAATACCGGGTTTTGATTGTGGCTCACCTGGATCGCTAGTTGCCGTTGCTTCTTTCCCGTGTGGGCTACTTTGAGGTAAAAAGCGTCTTCGGCAAATACGCGGTTGAATCTATGGCCACCGACTTGGCGTGGAAAATGCGGGAGGGGGGGGGGGGGGGGGGAAACGGAAGAACACCCGGCCAATGTGCACTCTCGAAACACATTGCAGTCTCGGGCAGCAGAAACCATCTGCTTGACCTCTGCAAGTTGCAGGTTGCCAGTGTCGGGCCTTCTTCTGGCAATCGGCCTGCTTCATCTTGCTGTACTTGGGAATCTTGGCCATGCCCACCACTGAACCGTAAACAGAATGTGGGTGGGGATGAGGGCCCAGATGGGTTTGGGCTCAACCAACCCCAAAGGGCGCCCTCCAAACAGTACAATGTTTACATTGACGAGCAAATATGTGCAAGTTTCGTGCTAGTAAAATACGAAAGAAAAGTCAACAAGCTTCTCAAAAAGGATTTTGTGGACTTTTGATGGGTAGTCAAAAGGGAAGCCCAAAGCAAACCATGGAATTTTTAGGGAGTCCTGAATTTGAGAGGCTCCCCCACACCCTGACTTCACAGGTTTCGTTACCCCTAAAATACCGAATACCTGAACAAGGGCGGCTGTTTTTGTCCTTTTTTGTCCTGTCCAGGGCGTTTCGCCTTCAAAATCGTGGGTTTCCCTGGGTTCTCTCAAGAAGAACCACACCCAACAAGCCCCTGTCCTGTCCAGGGCGTTTCCCAACATGGCGGGTTTCCCTTGGGGTTTTATCTTGAGAACCACGCCCCAAAACCGGGCCATGGCACCACCAAGTCGAGCGTCCGCGCCTTGCCCCCGCCGAAGACCAGCGTTAGCTTCCGCCGCGCCAGGCAGCGCCCGAGGCTCGCGGCCAGGGACAGGTACCTCACCGAGGAGTCCCTCAGGGGTCGCCCAAGGCGGGGGGGGGGGGGGGGCCAGGCTCTTTAAGAAACCCTCAGGAACCCCAACGAACTGCAAAAACGCCAAGGAAACCTCGGAGAGTCCCTCATCAGGGGTGGTCCAAGGCAGGGGGTTTCGACTCACTAAGGAACCCGAAAGGAACCCCAAGGAACCCCTGAAAGACGCCAAGAAGCCCTGAAAACCGTTCAAATCCAAGCCAGAAACCCGGTGTTTCATACATAGGGGAACCCAAAAGTATGTATGATCAGCGTCCCTCTGATTACTGGTTGGAGCCAGGCGGTTTGGTGGTGGCGGGGTTCCCATTTACTCTCTACCAAAGCCTGGGGTTCAAATCCAACGGTACCTGAGTGGTGGGTTGACATCCCCCGCCAATCCAAACCACCAAATATGTGAATCCTGGCAAAAATCAGATTCCGCTTGGGTTTTCGGGATTCCATGGGTATATGTCCAAGGGATTGTGTGGCTGTCCTTGCCCAAAAAAAGAAAGAGAAAAGGATACCCTGAAAAGCACACATCTCAATTACCAACTCGCCATGGTCCAAACTCCAAGTTTTGTGGCTCGGTTCCCTTTTTCAGCTTGAAGTGAAACAAAAATTGGGCTGTCCAGTTCTGACGTGGCTTACTTCTGGGTCAAATAAAATCCAACCACTAAACCAACTAAAAAGGATCTAACAACCTAAGGAACCAAATGGCTGGGAACCACTGTTCAGCTTCGCTTGGTGGCTTGGATTTGTGCTTCGGAGGTGTTCTGGGGTGGTTTCCCATTTATGCAAGGAATAGGGATTTTCAAGATACCATAGTCCAAAACTGACCATTGCAAATGAATGTTACATAACTCTTGCGCAAAGAACTGGTTCTTCCGCAGGTGGATAACATGTACTCCAAACCAGCGGGCGAAGGGCTGAAGACTCTTCCTGCAAAAGAACACAGCCAAAAACACAGACAGAACTGGACACTGGACAGCGACCGACAACCCCTGCAACGTTTTGCTAATATGGAAAGCAAAAGAAACCCGATGGGGTTTGAAGGGCTACAAGGGCTAGCGAACTCTGGCCATGAACTCTGTCTCTTGGGCTTGTGAAACCGGAACGGTCGGTTCCGCCCCTAACAAAGGTCGCTCGTGGACAAGGCAAATGGAAACCCCTCTTCTGGAGTATGTCCTTGAGAACCCCAAGCATTGGTTTTCCTTCAAACCAACCCCAGGGCTCCCTGCATTTCCCCTTTAAACACCCCAGCAAAAGGAAGCACAGCTACACTTGGTCCAGAAAGTGATGTTTAGACTCAGGAAAATGTATCTAGGAACCCCAAGGGCCTGAAACCGAGCCACATTGGGCCTTCCATGTTTCGGCTTCCTCCCGTAAACCCCCGGGGTTGATTACCCCGAAAGCTTGGGAATACCCATCAAGGTTCAGTCAGAACATGGACGGCCCTCGCCAACTTGAGCCCATCTTGAGGTCAAGGGTCCCCCGAAGGTGGCCGCGCTTGGCCGAAGGCTTCCCGGTCTCAACTTTACCGCGAACCCGAGAGAAATCGGTCTTGCTCGGGCCTTCCCTTCAAAACAACTCACAACAGAAGGTACCAACGCAAAAAAAAATGGGAGGACCCCCCATGTGTGTCTGGTTTGGGTGAGCTCCTCAAACTCAGAACAATTGGACCCGCCGACGAGGGGAAAAAAAAGAAGAAAGAAAAAAACCCTTCGTGGGCACTCCGCGCTCACCTTAGAGCTGCTGCCCCCATAGACGCAGACCCGCCGGAAGGTGCGACAGGGCACCTCGAAAGAAGGAAAACCACTGGGATCCCCAAACTGGTGGGTTTTCCTTCTGGTTTCCCTTTAAAACCAGCCAGAAAGGGGTCCCCCAAAAATAGACACGCCCGAATACGCACCAGAAGTTCGCTTTGTTGGGCGAACCCCAACTTGTTCGAAGTGAAACCCAAGCTTGGATAGAAATGTCGCATGTTTAAAGATGAGTCCGTCACCACTGGGGTGGAAACACCCCCCCTATCCTGCCAGGTTCAGTATTCAAACCCACAGCTTTGGACCCATTGGACTTTTGCTGAAGGCTCCTCCAAATGGCTGTTGCAACTAGAGCTGATAATACATATATATATATATATACATACATTACATTACATTACATTACGTTACATTACATTACATTACATTGCATTGCATTACATTACATTACATTACATTGCATTGCATTGCATTACATTACATTACGTTACATTACATTACATTTCATTACATTGCATTGCATTACATTACATTACATTACGTTACATTACATTGCATTGCATTGCATTACATTACACTACATTACATTACATTACATTGCATTACATTACATTGCATTGCATTACATTACATTACATTACATTGCATTGCATTACATTACATTACATTACGTTACGTTACGTTACATTACATTACATTACATTGCATTGCATTACATTACATTAGATTACATTACATTACATTACATTACATTGCATTGCATTACATTACATTACGTTACATTACATTACATTACATTGCATTGCATTACATTACATTACATTGCATTGCATTGAATTACATTACATTACGTTACATTACATGGCATTACATTGCATTGCATTACATTACATTACATTACATTGCATTACATTACATTACATTGCATTGCATTACATTACATTACATTACATTGCATTGCATTACATTACATTACATTACATTACGTTACATTACATTACATTACATTACATTGCATTACATTACATTACATTACATTACATTGCATTACATTACATTACATTACGTTACGTTACATTACATTACATTACATTGCGTTACATTACATTACATTACATTACATTGCATTACATTACAATACATTGCATTACATTACATTACATTACATTGCATTGCATTACATTACATTACGTTACATTACATTGCATTACATTACGTTACATTACATTACATTACATTGCATTACATTGCATTGCATTACATTACATTACGTTACATTACATTGCATTGCATTACATTGCGTTACATTACATTACACACATACACACATACATATATATATATATATATGTATGTGTATATATATATATATATATACGTATGTATACAATATGCCCAGCCATATATATATATATATAGAGAGAGAGATACACACACTGCTTTGCAAAGAATGCTGCAGTTAGAGGAAGTAAGGCTAAGAAATGGCCACCCAGCCACGTGTGTCCTCCAAAGACCCCTCAGATCCTGGTGCCTAGCACTTGGCTCACGGCTCACGGGTCCTTGAAGATAGAGAACAACAATACCAACCATACCCTTTCTGGGTCTCATCTTGGAACACCCTCCTTTTGCCCCTATAAGGGTCTCTTTTTGGAAACCCTGCTTTTTGGGAAACCTAAAAGTATGAGCAACCCAGAAAACACGACAGTGCTGCTTTCAGGTGCCTCACTCATCGCGGATCGATCCAGCGCTTCGAGCCGTGCAGATCCGCGGATCCGAAGATGGACTGAGTTGCTGGTTCTTGTGCTTGCTGCTGGCTTGGTTTCGCTTGGCATGTCTTGATGCATTCATGGAATGAATGACCGGAAAGACCCAAATAAATCTTCTCAGTGGATCGAGGGCATTACAATAACTCGAAAAAGGCCAGGTGCAGAGCTGAGCTTGAACATGTGGCCATGGGTCAAAAGCCAAATCGTACCCCCAGTGAACATCCCAATCCCCACTAAAATAGGCTAAAACGGGTGGTGCACCTACCCCCAAATGGTATCATTGGTTTTGACCCACAGCCATGTGGACTTGCTGGACCCCCTAGGCAAATCAATCGCTGCGCAGTCATTTCTCGAGGCCAATGGCTGAAGGGAAAATGTTTGATGCGCAATGCCGTGTTTGTTTCACTGATTGATATGAGCCACGGGGCAAAAAAAAACGGCTTCTTTCCCCTTTTAGGGGACTTCGGAAATTCAGCGCTCAATGAACCATCTGGTTTTGACGAAACGTAAGGGGGATGATTTTGGTGGAGTTCTAATATGGTGGTTGTCCTTTTTGGAGGGACCTGTGAAAACAACCAAAAGAGGGCAGACACACCCATGTTTGATGCAGCGCCTTCCCATCCCAATGGACCCGCCGAACGGGCACCAAACGTCCCAAATCATCGGCTCCTGAGTCTCCTCCCGGCGCTCCGACCTGAATGCTTCACGCCGCAGTTTACTCCGCTCAGGAGTGCAACCTGTTTCGGTTGGTTTCAGGGTAGGATTTAGAAATGGGTCAAAAGCCAAATCGTACCCCCCACTAGAATAGGTTCTAAAATGGATGGTGCACCTACCAACCACAATGGGATCCCATTGGTTTTGACCCACAGCCACATGAGGCTTTGTGGAAAGAAGGGGTTGGTCCAAAAATGGACCAGAAATCCTCTGATGAGGCCCCGAAGAGGCTTGGCAAACTAAGACGCACCCCGCCCTGACGTGGGTGCCAGCTCTGATCATCTCAGGACAGGAGATCCAAGGAGAGTCCCCAGAATTACCCTCCTAAAAATCTCTAACTTTTAGCGGTTGAGTGGTGAAACTACCACTAAAACAACTAGAAAACCCAAAACCTCTGGAAATTACCCCTAAACCAACTAAAAACCTAAAAAAACCTGTCCGGAACCGGATGGCCGGTTGAACCGCCAGAATAAAAATGGTTTTCAGTCACAAGCTCCGCACCAAGGCGGCCGTTCTCGTTGCACCCAAGCAATGCAAACAGGACTCTTGGACAGGGATCCTTACACTAGAAACACCGATCGAGCATTGCAACTTGTAAATGGCGGTGTCCAACTTTATTTTGGCGTGGAAAAAGCAACATGTTTCAAATGGGTGGGCAAAATGGAAATCTTTTATGGAGCCCTGTTGGATTTGCCGGTTTCTGGCAGCGCAGTTCCAAAGTCGTATATGCAACATTGGGGAGCTGTCGCAACTCATCTTGAAGCAACACCTCCTTGTTGTTGACTCCCTTTGCATGCTGCAGGCGCTCTGAACGCTGCTCTGAACAGTGAACAGGATGTCAACATGGTGAGGATGACGAGGATGGCAGGGAGAATTGCATCCAAGTTCAAGGAGATGCTGCCGGGCTTTGGTTCAAAGAGCAAAAGGCTAAGGCTGGGTGTCGCCGAAGTTTGAAGGCCTCAACAGTGTTGCGCTGAATGGAAGAGTCGGAAACTCCCAGGAAGATGCGGCTTCTTTAGCCGGAACTGGCGCTCTGGAGGTTTGCCCGCAAACTTCTCCGGCGGAAGTTACGAGATGGCCCTGTTGCCGCTCAGCTGCAAACCTGAAAATCTCACCTCAAACAGGGCAGGGCCCCGCATGTGGCCCTGGAAAACTTCAGGTCTTTCTCTCGGCAAGGGAACAAACGAAAACCACAAAAATCTCAGTTGCGAAATCTGCTCCCCTGCCAAAAGTGAATAACTTTAAGCCGTTTAATACGGAAAACCCACTGGTTGGCAAAAAAAGTTCTCAAGTCCTAAGATCCCTGGGCAAAATGCGCCAAAGTTCAGGGAACTCTCCCACTGGCCTTTTCTTGCTGATCAGACCCGCCAACCAAACACGCCTGGGAGTCCCAAATTTGAGTACCCTCGGGATCTTCCCAATCACCGACTATGAATTCGAGGGCCGCCGCATGACTTTGTCCCACTCGCGTGACACCGCGTCCGATCCCGGGCTTGGCACTCCCGGGGCTTGAAGACGTGCGTGGCCATGGGGATGGGCGCCGGCCGCGCCACCACTTGCCTGGCCACTTGTGGCCAGGGACCACCGAGGCACAAAGGCGGGGAGTTGACGTTAGGTTAGGGGAGCAACAAAAACCAAAAAAAAGCAGTCAAGTGGATTTGGATTTCAACCACTAAACCACAATAAGGAAAAAAAAACTTAGCAGTCAAGTGGATTTGGACTTCAACCACTAAACCACAATAAGGAAAAAACTTAGCAGTCAAGTGGATTTGGATTTCAACCACTAAACCACAATAAGGAAAACAAACTTAGCAGTCAAGTGGATTTGGATTTCAACCACTAAACCACAATAAGGAAAACAAACTTAGCAGTCAAGTGGATTTGGATTTCAACCACTAAACCGCAATAAGGAAAAAACACTTAGCAGTCAAGTGGATTTGGATTTCAACCACTAAACCACAATAAGGAAAAAACACTTAGCAGCCAAGTGGATTTGGATTTCAACCACTAAACCACAATAAGGAGAAAAACACTTAGCAGTCAAGTGGATTTGGATTTCAACCACTAAACCACAATAAGGAAACAACACTTGGCAGTCAAGTGGATTTGGATTTCAACCACTAAACCACAATAAGGAAAAAAAACTTAGCAGTCAAGTGGATTTGGATTTCAACCACTAAACCGCAATAAGGAAAACAAACTTAGCTGTCAAGTGGATTTGGATTTCAACCACTAAACCACAATAAGGGAAAAAAAACTCAGCAGTCAAGTGGATTTGGATTTCAACCACTAAACCGCAATAAGGAAAACAAACTTAGCAGTCAAGTGGATTTGGATTTCAACCACTAAACCACAACAAGGGAAAAAAACTTAGCAGTCAAGTGGATTTGGATTTCAACCACTAAACCACAATAAGGAAAAAACACTTAGCAGTCAAGTGGATTTGGATTTCAACCACTAAACCACAATAAGGAAAAAAACTTAGCAGTCAAGTGGATTTGGATTTCAACTAAACCACAATAAGGAAAAAAAAATAGCAGTCAAGCGGATTTGGATTTCAACCACTCAACAACAACAAGCAAAACTGGAAAAAATGTGTCCCAACAACAGCCATGAAGGCGCACAGGTGGCCTCTTACCCCTGCGCGCAACGTTGAGCAGGGTGAATGGACTGTGGCGAGAGATACCGAGCCCATGCTCCAAGTTGAACACGTGCAAAATCATTCGGTTTCCTCTTCCGATCCATTCCCAAAACGTGGAAGGTCATTCCCTATTCTATTGAGCACCCGCAGTTGTTGGTTTGGGCTCTTGTAGAATGGGAAACCAGCAATTGGGAAACCATAGAGAACCCTGGAGCCCGAGCACAATGCAACCACTCAATCCCTGAACCGATGCATCCACTGGTTCATTCGGCGCTGGCCATGTTCGAAAAGGCGTGCAGTAACATGTTGACACAGCATCAGGCTCCGGAAGAAAACATGTGTGCATTGGCTTGCGACCACACAAGAGCGAAATCTCTCAGAGCGCATTCCGCGCTGCAAAACAAAAGAATGTAGTTTTCTGATACGCTGACCCGCACTCTGCACATGGCCTTGTCGGTTGGTTGGCTCCTTGCTTTTCACATAGTAGCATACTAAGGGGGTTGGTGCAATACATTATGCAGGTATATATATATATACATACGTATGTTGAACCACGTTTGTTTTTGAATCCCTGAATCATAATATGTAAACCCGCCAATGTCGACCCCGCATCAATTAACTTGGTGGTTTCCCTTAATGACCCATTAGGAGAAAGAAAAAAGGCGCGTCTTCTGTTTGAGGGCCGGCTGTGGTTTTTTCAAACCCACTGGCTCCAGTTTCTCAAAATGGGATTTGGGTGTTGGTTCCTTGTTGGGAGTTGGCACCCTTTTTAGGAACACCACCCATTGTGGGGGTCGCCCTTTAGGACACCCCCATTTGGAACCCTTCGAGTTGGTCATCTCAGGGCAAGCGAAACCACGAAACGGTTGCCATTTCAGGAACCCGCATTCTATGAGAACCCAGAATGGGTCTGTGCTGTTGTTGCGTGGCTTTTTTCTCAAGACGGGGTTGGTTTCAAGGGACAAAGGGAAATTGCCCAGTTTTCGGGCTTTTTGTTGAGGTTTTCTTACAAGGGTTGCTTGGTCCAGGGAAACCACAAAACACGTCACCCATTGTTGGGGGGCGGTGCGCCTAAAGCAACGAGCCACCCACACTCCGGGCTCCCGGGCGCCCACGGGCTCACCCGCTGAGGGCTGCTCACCCGCACGAAGCCCTCCGGAACCCGCAGATGGCACGGAAATGGCTGGGGGGTTGATCCGGTCAGGTCAGACGGGATGACCATTGCTCGGTGAAAGCCACGAAAAAGATTTGAAGTTACCAGGAAAAGTGGCCCATGGGTCAGTGTTCTTGTTGTTCTTGCAGGAATATGGATCAACCCCCCCATGAGTGTAGATGGTCATTTGGGTTCTTTTTCTTTTCGCAGGAATACTGATCACCCCCCCCCCTTTAGAAGGATTGGCTCGTGTTGCACTGATGTCCTAAGACTCGTGCACAGCGAAGTTCGCACGAGTCAAAACCTCCCGTTGTCTGAAAAGGCTATGGGTCAAACTCCCTTACCCTCAGTTAACATCCCAATCCCCACTAAAATAGGTTCTAAAATGGGTGGTGAATTCACCTACCCCAAAATGGGATCCCAATACGGTTTTGACAACCACAGCCAAAGAGGATGCCGACCACTCCGGCACCCGCCTGGGTCACAGGCTGTCTCATGGGGGAGCGAGCCGGAGACACCGCGCGTGTGAAGTGTTTCCTGCCCGCGCAAGGGCCCTGAGATTCAACTGGACAGCTTTGCCAGAGGCGCCAAAGCGCGCGCAGTCGTGCGCAGGGCGCCCGTAAAAAACCGGTTGGCCTTTTTTGAGGCTACCCTTCTTGGGGTTGCTTGAAAGGGAAACCAACGGTTTCAAAAACCATTTTGGGGCAGCCTTGTTTTGTGACACACCCATATCATGCATATCCTGCTTCAAATTGATCCTAAAGGGCTCGAGACACCTGGAGACAATCTAAAAAAAAAAATGTGGGCGGATAGCGCGTTTGCAAACTGTATTTGCAAACTCCGTGAACAAAACAAGGACTTCTGTCTTCAAAGTGCGTTTGAGAATGACAGCCGCTCCCGCGGAGCACACCAAAGGCAAGAGAAAAACAAGTTTCCTCTACGTGGGCGGTCTCTGAATTCAAATCCATGGCTTCAACGACTGATTCACAGCTTCGAATGACCATGGCCGGCGAGGGACGTGGTGGTTCCCAGCGATTACCTCTGCTTGAGAGCACTTCACGGCGCACTGAAGGACCGAAGCTAGGGAGGCCCGGAGCCTTGTTTATCGCGGTCATCTCGGCTGGGAACAGCCTTCAGCCATGTCGTGGCTCGAAGAGGCCAACTTTCAGATGCTGGCCCATCAGTGCACTCTGAGAAAAGAAGAAAAAGGAAATAGGAACAACATGAAAGCTTGGGAGTTTCGCGAAGTGTGACTCCCCTCCTTAGCCTCCTAAAGCTATTGAATGTTCTAAGGGATCGGCGATCGCCGCTATTCGCCCGCCCCGCCCGAACTCCGGAACTAGTGTCCTTCTCTGCCACTCCTCTACCGGCACAGCCTGCCAAGTCAGATCCTTGCCTTATGTTTTCCAGTAGAGAGGGTAGGATAGGGGTGCCAACTTTTTTCTGTAGTCTATTTTAGCAGGGGAACTCTCCCCAAAAAAAGGGTAAAAGGGCACTACTGGGGGACCTAGTTGCCCTATGTCCATGCATCTGGAGTTGGTCGCCGCCATGTTTTGGCAAAGGGATACCAAGAAGAAAGAGGGAGAACCCTTTAAAAACACAGCCTCATAGCTGGCGTGGGATTGGGATGATCCCAAGCAAAAGGAGCCCATCAATGAAGCCCTGGTTTGTTCATAGAAGCTGACTCTGTCAAAGCGGCGATCCACACTCCCCAAAATAAACAGGGAGTTGAGCCATCTGAAGTTCTCAGCAGGTTTTGGGGGTTCCCAAAACAAATGCAAAAAACAAAACAAAAAACAGATTTTAGGGGGAAAAACCAAGCAAACCATGAGTTGATCAACCACCTTCCGCCGGTTTCAGTGGTGAGAACCCTTAAAAACCGCCGCACCTTGAAGGGCTCGGGGGGCAGCGGCGGGCGCGCGGCCGCGGGGTTCGCCGCGGGCGCCGCGCCGGGGAACACGATACCCCTGGCAACCCCAGCGGCGCCGGGGTTCCAGAGATTCATCGCTCAAAGAGCCAGCCCCTAGTTTAAGACACATATGGACAACTGCAAACATGCCTCCATGATCCCAGTTTGTAGTCCCATTTTTTTTTGTTGATTGGGGTGTTACAAGCAACTGCCTTGAGTTTCAGGGAGGTGTGTTTGGTGCCAGGCCATTGAAATTGAGAGGGAATCGCAAAGCAGAGAGCAACACTTACCCGAATGAGCCCATCGAAAATGAGTAGAGGAAATCCCAAAGGAGAGAGCAAACTGTAAATTGTGAAACTTGGATCCATTGGGTAGATGAAAGAAAACATGTCGGATTGTAACAAGAAGAAAAGGCCACGACACCCATCCATTCTGGGATATAAATCACATGGGATACCGATGCTGCCGTAAGCAGGCAGGCAGCACCGGTAAATGTCGATTTGCCCAACGTCTCTGCGCAACGCAAAACACGCACGAGTCTTGATTCCACAGCAGGGAATCTTGAAAGTGGTCTCCCAAAGGGAGTATGCGTCAAAATGGACTTGCGTCGTCATGTCCTTTTGGCCTCCCCGGGTATCCCAAGGCAGTTGCTTGTAAAACCCCAAGCCAAATAAGATGAATGGGCTCCCTGGCACAATTCAAACAGACCCACGGAACCGGGCGCTCTCTCCGGGCACGGCCCAGGGCGCCTGCTCACGCCCTGCACCATGTGCACCTGCAACGGCGATGCCTGCCTGGCCGTGCGTGTGAGTTCCTCAAAAAAAAAGAGTGAATTTTCCCTAGCCTGTTGGCTGGCATTCTGGAACACCAACGGGAACCCACAATTTGGTTTCGCCGAAACTCCCAGATGCCTATGGCAAAGGATTGCAGCAAGGCAGCAGCATCATTTCAAAGCCCCAGGCCGGGGCGCAGCCTTTAACCAAGAGAGGAGTTTTGGATGGGAATGCAACCCAAGTAAGATCAAACGGACCAATGGGGCCCGTCATTCCGGCCTGGCATTTCTTGCCAGAACCAACGGGGAAGTGCCTCACCCTCCCGCAACAGTGGCTTTGGTCCGTGAAAACCTAAAAGGGCCAAAAAAAAACGAGAGCCTTGCAGACTTGGCATTTCCGCTAAAGCCGCTCAAGCCGCTTTTTGCCGCCTTTAGCCACCTTTTCGGAAAGAAATGACATGGCATCAAGTACAACAGGGTCCAGCACTGCGACATCCTCAACATAACCCTGTAAAACGGTATAGGCGGGTCCCCCCAAAAAAGATGTTGAGAACCCTTGGTTGCTGTTGACCCCCCTGCAAAAAGTGTAACTTTTGGGGGGGGTTAGTGGAAACCCCTTGATTTCACAAAAAGCTAAAGTCTAAAGATCCAACCCAATAGCTGTCAAGAACAGACCCACGTTGGGGGGTGTGTCCCATTCGTCTCCGCACCTGGCAGGTGAGAAGGCGCGCATCGGCGGACCTTGTGGCAAGGCTCTCCGTTTTTGTGGCAGGGGCGCTTGACTCCAAGGAAACCGTCGACCAGCTGGTTCCGCACTTATTGCAATATGGCATCTTGGGAGCGCCGTTTCAGCCGCTCCCACCTGGCGTACAGAAACCTGCGCCGCGAACCACGGTGCAGGATGTTTCTTCTCTTGACAGAAGCTTGCCGACCTTCAACATGAACATGTGGCTATGAATTTGAAAACCGGGACGTTTTGGTGGACATCATTTCGGTGGACATCACATGTCCACCAATCACTTTTGAGGTGGTTCCAACTCTTAAAGTTCATGGCCATGTCTGGATTTGGCCTAAGCAACGTCCAAACTATGCACCACCTAAGAGACCCTGGCATGATGATTCCCCTGTGAATATCAACAAACAATGGTTTCCGATAGCTCCAAAGTGGTGTAGGATTTTGTCAATCCACAGTATGAGCAATCAGACCAAAAAAAAAAGGCAACCGACCAAGGGAGGGAACGGGCCCCGGGCCACGCATACGGACTGGCGAGGCCCAACGGAGACCAGGGGAGGCCGGGCCTAAGCCAGGAGTCGGAAAATCCCCATGGATCGAATGTGAAGAAAACCTGGTTGGTTGATTGTTTGGTTGTTTGGTTGATTGGTTGGTTGGTGGGTGGGTGGGTGGGTGGGTGGGTGGGTGGGTGGGTGGGTGGGTGGGTGGGTGGGTGGGTGGGTGGGTGGGTGGGTCGGTCGGTCGGTCGGTCGGTCGGTCGGTCGGTCGGTCGGTCGGCCCGTTGTTTGGTGGGCGAATGCAAAAGCCTGGGCTTTCGGCGAAAATACAAATTGAAACCGGTGGAATCCATCTGTTTTGAAGCTGACCTGAAAGGGCATGCCAAGGTCCGGCCAAGGAAAACCCAACGGAAGTCTCTCACGTTTGGTGTATGCGAAAAGAAATTTCTGCTGGGGCGGTTCCTGCCAGAATAAAACAGGAGCCTTCCGCCGAAAGTTCTGGAACCCACAAACCTGGGCAACTCGACACAGGGAAAAAAGACCCCACAAAATCCTGATCTGCTAAAGATGACATCCTCATCAAATCTCTCAAACAAATTACTAAAATCAGCACAACCTCAGTCACACATCAGCCTCAGCTGCAAATACAAGTCAAAGCCACCTGATTAGACCGGAGGTGTCCGAATATGCTGCTTCCCCGTTGGCTTCGAAATCCAAAGCCTCGCTTTCCCTTCCAGTAACACCCACGACTGCAGCAAGCGGTACCACAACCGTGAAGCCACAAAGCAACGGATCGCCACCCAGCGCTGGGGACAAAGGACTTCTTTTTTGCACAAGACCCTGAGAGGACAAGGGAAGGTTCCCGAACCTGAACGCGATGAAGTTTCGGGCGCGGGCAACCTCAACCTGAGCTGCGCGCGCTCGTAAGTGCGCGGATAGCCTTCCAAGCGGGCTCAGCCGCCCGAGCTGGTCAAAACAAAGTGCATGAAAGGAGGGAAAACACAGTTCATCAAGGTCAAAACACAGATTCCTCCCCTGCAAACTGACATTGCGGGGTCCCAAAAATGGGGTCCCCAACAAAAGAAAGAGAAACACCCATGATGGTTTTATGGGTTTGCCCGTAGTTTCTTCCAGCATCCAAAGAAAAAACCCGCCGCAAATGCCTCTGGTTGAGATAGATCGCGCTCCATAAGCGGCCTTGGAGAAGCAGCCTATGGGAACCCCAAATTCATGCGTCCCTGGTTGGCTCGTTCAGACCATTTTTGGAGGGAGGGTTCATTCATCCGGGGTCAATGTTACTTTGCTCGGACATCTTCGCACTAGACCAAAGGAATGTGGCCACGTTGCCAGATCTGGGAGCATCGCAGGTTGCAGAGGCACCCCGATCCTTGGCAACTGGGCTTGGGCATCAGCCACTCATTCAGACTGCCACTCTGGATGACAGCAACCATACATTTCCTCCAAACCCTGGTGTATGATGAATACCGTCCCCTGCAAATACCAAGCAACGTTCTCGTGTTGGCCAAGGCTTCATTTCGTGGTGCGATTTCGACCGTCGTCTTCGAATCCAGGTCCCCAGCGCCCGGAACTCGTTGGGCGCGCCCGCCTGAGTGACAAGATGGTATCGAAAATGAAGGGCTGGATGGGACGAAATCAGATCTGGTCACGTGGAATGATGACTCCACTGTAAATGCCAACAAACAACAATGGTCACCTAACCTTAAGCAGGACGGCAGGATGCATTCCATAATCGATTCCCTCTCTCTGCTTTGCACGTTTTTGTTGCGAGCAATTTTGGGTCCTTCATGCGTGTCTTTCAATTTAGCACCCCAAGTTTGCTCATAGTACAAAAGCAAACACAAGTAAACGCAACATCTTGCAAGATCCAAATTGCTCTGCCAATGTGTCCGCTTTGTGGCCGTGAGTCATGGGTCATGGGTGCCGTTGCACCAAAAAAACAATGAATGTGACACATCCCATAGTCAAGCTGACTGAAACATAAACTTGGATTTCTTTCATTCTTCATGTCTTGGTTGGTCAAGTGCCCCTTCCGGCACAACATGTATTATTGGGGAACATGCCGCAACTCTCTTCGCAGGCTACACGCACGCCAAAGAATTTGTCCACCGGGCATCTATGGCAGTTGGGTGCCAGGCAGCGAAAGGCGTTGTCGCCATGCCCGCAATCTACCAATGAAACAATTCAGCGGCTGCGGTAGGTTGTCAAATTTGCGGCCATGGCAACAGACTGTGTCTTAGACGCTAGAACAAGCACGAAGTGTTTACCACCTACGCGTTCATGTCCTGATGTCCCTCCAATGATCCCCAGCGCCACGCTTGCCATTGTCAAAATGTTGCGCAGCACTGAATGTGGTGGGCCAACCTGATTTTTGGTAAGCTTGGGGGATGATCTTGGGGTATGGCGCACCTCCATGAATGCGGACACAGATACGCACACGGTTGCAAGGAAAGGCACAACCAGCCACTGGCCCCAGCCCTGCGGCTGGCTTGCACTTCAGCATATCCACAAGGCAATTACAATAGAATCCTGTTCACTGCTTCAAGCCAAGACGGAACAAGCAATAAAAGAAACACAAGTCCGACCGACCCAATCGTTCTGCTCCTTTTTGTTAGGCGTTGCTCAGAAGTCCAGGATCGGGGATGCAGGAGATATGACAAAGCGTGTCCATCCCCTTCACGCGCATCCCCATGCGGAGCCTGCACAGATACCCCCAAGGTTAACAACGCGTGTTCAACCTGTTCACAGGGTGCGTTACCCAGGGGTGTGAAACATAACTGGAGGTATTGTGGTCAAGAAGCAATGCGTGGAATTTGTGTGCGAAATTGAGGAAGGCGTCAACAAATTTCACCTGCATCCCCATGCGGAGCCTGCACAGATACCCCCAAGGTTAACAACGCGTGTTCAACCTGTTCACAGGGTGTGTTACCCAGCGGTGTGAAACATAACTGGAGGAATTGTGGCACGTCAAGAAGCAATGCGTGCAACTTGTGTGCGAGATTGAGGAAGGCGTCCTCAAATGATAAGACCAACGGCTTGTCCTGTGATGTTGTGTCCCACATGAAGCAACGCGTGCTCTCGTGAGAGATTCTGAGGAATGCGTCCTCACTTGTCTGAGTCCGGAACACATGCCGGAGGAATGCGTCCTCGCATGTTCCACCTTCAGCAGAACGTGCACGCTGGACAATGTGCGGGAATGCAAGTCCTATGAAGGCTTGCGAGCCTTGTACACCAAGGTGTTTCACCTGAGCGCTCATAGGGTGGGCTCAAAAAACAGAAGGAGGGATCGAACCCTCTAACCCCGTCCCTCAAACTGTCTTGAAGCATAAACGGCAACGCGGCTGAAGATTCGAACAGGATTAAAACACGGGGGAACAAAAAACCTCACTGCTTCAAGCCAAGAGGGGACCAGCAATACAAAGAAACACAACTCCGACCGACCCAATCATTCTGCTCCTGTTTATTAGGCGTTGCTCAGAAGTCCAGGCTCGGCCCTTCACCTGCATTTTCATGCGGAGCCTGCACAGATACCCGCACGTTACTGTTCCCAATGCTCGCCCCCTCTTTAGTGCGGTTGCAAGGCTGCCCTATGCTCTGGCCGCCAAGGAGCAGCGTGAGGATGCAAAGTCAAAGCAGGCTAATGCGGCGCACCAGTGCGAGCTCATCATGCTCAACGACGAGGCGCTGGTGCAGACGAAGAGCCTCTCGACGCAGCTGTCCCTGACCACGAACCAGAGGAACCCCAGCTGCCTGGCGATGGTCTGCAACACGAACTTCACCAACTTGTCGGACAGCCGGGTGAAGACGGAGATGGCCGAGGCCGACGTGGCAGAGCTCCAGCAGCTCTTCGACTCCGTGGAGGCCAAGCAGTACAAGCGCCCCGACATGAACGGGGTCCTGAGGCTGAGGAACGGGGATGGAGGCGCGGAAACACTTGGGGGAAGACCTGGTACGGCCTGGTGGTGATGGGCGTCTTCACCCGAGAGGCTGCCGTGGAGCCCCTGCAGAACAAGAACGCCGAGACGGTCGGCCGAGCCACCAAGCGCGCCGCGCAGGAGCTGACGGGGGACGACGAGAACTTCGTGGTCACGACCGATCTGGGCAACGAGCTTGCCACGCTGGACCGGGAGCTGCCCGAAAACGCCGTGCGCCGGACGAAGCGCCCCGAGGACCGCAACGCCACGGCCGTGGTGGACCGGGGCATCCAGACGCTGAAGAAGGACCTGGCCACGCGCGTGGCACGCAAGGGCGGGCAGTGGAGCGACCACTTTGAGCGGGCAGCCGGGGCCTACAACGCCCGGCCGCACGAGACGGTGTACGGCGCCCCCCGAGGACGTGGAGAAGCAGCCGGCCACCAAGTTCCGGCTGCTGCAGGACAACGCCGACAAGTTCCAGCACAACAAGGATCTCACGGACCGGCGCATCAAGGCCGTGGAGGACGCGGGCGCTTTCCGAGCACCGACGAACGCGGCGAGGAGCTTCAACCCTCAGTA